AATTAATATAATTATATCTAAAATGTTGAAGTTTAATAAAAAAAATTCAATAACTTATTTAATAATAACAAATAACAACCCTAAAAAAAGAAATAATTCTTAAATTAATTAATAATCAAAATCTTATTTTAAATAAAAATAAATTTTTCACAATTTAAAATAAAATTTTATATCTTTAACACCGCTCAACTCAAATCAACTATTTGAATTAACTATTTGAATATAATTAAAAAAAATTATTTCACTTTTAATAATTAATAAATTTAAGAGAACCCAATGTAACCATAATAATAAAAATTCCCGTATATTATTTATTCTAAAAGAAAAAATAAGTAATATGTTATAGAATAAATTTTTCCGTGTTGTCTATAAGAATATAAATACAAAGTACATGCAGCTCTAAAAAAAGATACAAAACGTAAACTAATTATTGAATACCAAGATCAACTTACAATTCTATTTATTAAAGAAATTTATCCTAATAAATTTAAAAAGCTATATTTCCAGACTTTAATAAATATCATCATAAAGTTAAAGAAGATATAAAATTTACCCCAATTTTAATAATCTTCGTCTACCCAATCACTCGTATCTAATATTAGTTAAATAAAATAAACCCGAAGAACATAAACCATGACCAATAATTAATATATATCCTCCACAAATGTCTCAATTTCTTAAATTTATAATTTCTGCTAAAACAGTTCCTATATGAGCAACAGAAGAAAAGGCAGTTAATGATTTTAAATCATCTTGACGTAAACAATTTAATGTAACTAAAATTCCTCGAACTAAAGAAATTCTAATAAAAAATAATTAAATCTTAAACAAACAAATGAAATAAAGAAAATACTCGTAAAAGCCCATTTCCTCCCTAATTTTAACATAATTCCAGCTAAAATTATTGAACCAGAAATTGGAGCTTCAACTTGAGATTTGGGTAATCATAAATGAACTAAAAATATAGATATTTTAACTAAAAATGCTAATATTATACAAAAATATGATAATTCATAATTAGACATATAAAAATTCTTAATAATATAGGTAAAAAAAAAACAAATAAATTATAAAATAATAAACAAATCCCAGGTTGGAACCGTAAAGGTTGATATCTTCATCTTAAAATTAATAATAAAGTTAAAAAGCAAAAATATTTATTTTAGAAATAGTTAAAATTTAAAAAAATTAATATAAAAATTAATTAATTAATTATAAATAAATAATTGCAATTTTTAAATTTATTAATTTTTTCTCTTGCTATTAACATTAATGCACAAATTCAAAATCTTAATAAAATTAATCCATAAGAAATTATATCACAATCTAAAAAATAAGAAATATTGATAAAATAATTACAATAAATATTGAATAAAATTAATATGAATCTAATTAAAAATAATATAACCATCTATCTGAACCATTCAAAATATATTATTAAAAAAACAAACAGGAATTAAAACTAAAACAAAACAAAACACAATAAATTTTAACATTATAAAATTCTAAATAATCAAAAAAAAAAAAATTATTATTTAAGTTTTAATAGTTCAATAAAACATTGGTCTTGTAAATCAAACGTAAGAATAATCTTTTAAAACTCTCAAGAAAGAAGAAATAATTCTTTATCATAAATTCCCAAAATTTATATTTTAATTAAACTATTTCTTGAAATTTTACATATATTCATTTTAATCTTTATACTAATTTCAAGTACTATATTTCTATTTCTAAATCATCCAATACCAGTAGGATTTATATTATTAATTCAAACAATTTTAATTTAAATTTTCTCAGGATTAATTTCAAAAACATTTTGATTTGCTTATATCTTATTTTTAATTTTTTTTAGGAGGAATATTAGTTTTATTTATTTATATTACTGCGATCGCTTCAAATGAAATATTTTCATTTTCAATTAAAAGATTAATATGAACAATCTCATTAATTATCAGAATTTTATTTTTATGGAAATTTTTATATATAATTATAGATATATTTATTTAGTATAGATATATTTATAAATTTAAAAATTTGAACTAATTTAAAAAATTTAATTCAAGGAAATTCTTATATTTTAACTAAACCTTATAATTATCCAACTAATTTCATAACAATTTTTTTAATAAATTATTTATTAATTACTCTAATCGCAATTGTAAAAATTACAAATATATTTTTGGTCCAATTCGACTTATAAAATAAATGAATAAAACTATACAAATTAATCATCCTCTTTTCAAAATTATAAATAATTCTATAGTAGACTTACAAACTCCAATTAATATATCTTCGTGATGAAATTTTGGATCTCTATTGGGATTATGTTTAATAATTCGAATTTTACCTGGATTATTTTCAGCCATACATTACTCAGCTGATATTAATATAGCATTTAATAGAATTAGTCATATTTGTGGAGATGTAAATTATGGATGATTATTACGAACTCTTCATGCTAATGTAACCTCATTTTTTTTTATTTGTATTTATTTTCATATTGGACGAGAAATTTATTATAATTCTTTTAATTATACTCAAACCTGATCAGTTGGAGTAATTATTTTATTTTTAGTAATAAGAAGTGCCTTCTTAGGATATGTTTTACCAAGAGGACCATAAAATCAATTTTCGAAGGAAAACGATACAAAAATTTTTACTTTTTATTTCTAAAATAAATGTATACATAAAATATTAACATTTTAAATTAGTTCCGCATCATTTCTGTTTTTAAATTATAAATTTTAACATAAATAAACCGTTTAATAAACTTTTTCTTATATAGATGAATTAAAAAGTTAATAAGTTTGTTACTAGTCGAACTACCTATATAACTGCAGCATATAATCACACCTACCTTTTTCGGTGAAGTGTTTTTTTGGTACAGTTGGAAAAATACTCTGCACAATTTGGTTCCTATATAATTCCAACAAATGAATTAAATATTAATAATTTTCGATTATTAGAAGTCGATAACCGAGTTATTTTACCTATAAATTCTCAAATTCGAATTTTAGTAACTGCTGCAGATGTAATTCACTCTAGAACTGTTCCAGCTTTTAGTATGTCAAACTAAAATAATTAATAAATTAATATTTTTTAATTCCCATTAAGTTCCCATCAACTGATTAAGTTCATTTTTTTTTATTTTTTCAATTTTTATTATTTTTAATAGAATAAATTATTCTTATTTATTACCTACTTCTTCTAAATCTTTAAGTTACAAGATAACAACACATATATTTAATTGAAAATGATAACAAATCTATTTTCTGCTTCTGACCCTTCTTCAAGCATTTTTAACATTTCCATTAATTGAATTAGACCTTTTTTAGGAATTATTATAATTCCAATAATTTATTAATTAATTCGTTCTCGTTATAATATTTTATGAAATAATATTTTATTAACTCTCCATAACGAATTTAAAATATTATTAGGACCTACAGGTAAAAACGGATCCACATTAAGTATTATTTCTTTATTTACAATAATTCTTTTTAATAATTTTATACTATTATTTATTATACTATTATAATAAAATAATTATACTATTATATTTATAATTATTTTATTTTTAGTAATAAGAAGTGCCTTCTTAGGATATGTTTTACCAAGAGGACAAATATCTTTTCGAGGAGCTACAGTAATTACTAATCTTTTATCTGCCATCTCTTACTTAGGGATTGATTTAGTTCAATGAGTATGAGGAGGATTTGCAGTTGATAATGCTACAATAACCCGACTTTTTACTTTCCATTTTATATTACCTATAATTGCTTTAGCAATAACAATAATTCATCTTTTATTTCTTTATCAAACAGGATCAAATAATTATATAGGATTAAATTCAAATATTGATAAAATTCCATTCCATCCTTATTTCACTTTTAAAGATATCACTGGACTTATTATCCTAATTATTTTTTTAGTTTTACTAACTTTAATGAATCCGTTATTATTAGGATATCCAGATAATTTCATTCCAGCTAACCCTTTAGTTACTCCTATTCACATTCAACCAGAATGATATTTGTAATCGTCTTAATAGTAATTATACTTTTTTATAATATAAAAAAAATTCAAGGATTACAATTCTATTCTATTAATCAAAATTTTATTTTGAATTATATTAACTACTGTTATTTTATTAACTTGAATTGGAGCTCGACCAGTTG